ACAGTTTATCAAACTAGAGGAGATATTAATAACTAATTTCCGTCCTGTAGTTTACCTGTGGAATGATATCACAACTTTTTATAGTAGGGTAATCAGATAGGTTTACTATTACATGCATATCAATTGTGGGTTAAAGCCAATAACATAAACTTGTATTGGTACTGATTAAATGAATGGTGATTCACTTTTATGCATTCTAAATAACCTACTTATAAGTAGTAAAAAAGCACAATGATAATTTATTTCTGGAAAATAACAACAGTCTAAAATTTATACGGAAAACTTTTTAAAGATTGGTTGAAGTTAGACATTAACACCGTTGGATGCGGGCAAGTTCAGTGGTCTAGTTGGTTAAACGTCTGGCGCGAGACTGATAGGTTCTGGGTTCGAATCTTGCGGGCAGTCGGATCATGGATGCGCACTGCTGAGGAGTCCCATGCCAAGACGAAACGGTCGTTCAATACTTCCAGGTTTTCCATGGTGGTCTAGCTTTAATTGACTCATGATTTCAACTATTGAAATTACTCGAAATCTTCACAAAACTCCTTTTGATAAGATTGAATTAGTAAATCCTAGACTTAGATGTTCTAATGAATAGTTATGAAAGAAGAGTTTCAGTTGTTAAAGGATTTAGTCTCAATATTCACAGCGAAGTGATAAAACTAGATTGACTACGCCTGTTAATTGAAGAGAGAGAGAGAGAGAGAGTTTCACCGTAGATAACTACTGTCTATCATTAATAACTGAGTTGCCCGTTATATTATGTATTAAATAGAACCAAGTAATAATTATAATAATAGGGTACAATTCATCCTTAGTGTAGTTAGTACTTGTAGACCTTGAAATGCACACTAAACTTTAAGAGTATTGAGTTAGAATACAAAGTTCATATTTCCTACTCCATTTAATTCCTGACATTACGTAACTATCAGTACATGCTATCGATGATATATCTCATTTCAGGTATGAATGAATTCCAGGGGAGGTTTGTTCTTTGAGTTGAATGGTTTAGTCGTGGGGCTTCCATCATAATCTTTGCCTGTATAAACATCAATTTACGGTAAAACGCCATGACATATCCTCGCCTATATCAATCCATGTGAACAAACATTCGACTGAGACAATGTTGAGATTTTGAAGAGAGAGAATTCTAAACACACTAGAGAATTATTAGAAGTTTAGCATTCAGATCAATCACTGATCAACAAACATATTGAAATCGATCCAATTTATCAACTAACCAGAAAAGTTATGAACAAATATAGGATCATGAATCAAATCAATGGGAGATACAATCATAATAAAGAAGTAAACAATAACTGGTTAAAGGTAAAAAAGAAAATAATCAATCAAGATTGAGGTCTACAGGACAAGTTGTGTGTGAGTCATATGTAGAGAAATTCAAACACTTCACATCTATTTGAAGTTTGTGCTGATGATGTCGTTCAGAAGAATGATGAAAGTTCTATGACTAAACCATCCAGCTTAGAGTACAAAACTCTACCAAAGTCATTCGCCTGAACTAAAAATCTTCTCTGCTATCTCATAGTTGAATTCCAATAGTTACTTATCAAGAGACCTTAAAGTATCTACTTTTGATTTGGAACTGATCGAGGATATGATCACTGCTTAGTTTGTTGATTTTCACGGGATACTTCAACTTGAGAATATTTTCATCACAGATTGACATCGACTAGAGATTTTATTGACTAAGTTTTTAATTTTTAATTATAAATTAAGTGACTCAATGCTGTAGTATGGTATTATAGTGAACACTATATATAAGTGGTGTGTAGCGGAACGTGATGTCGAAGTTGTTACAGTTGTCAGATGGAGTGAAGAGTTTCAGTGCATCGAAAGCATGGAGTTGTCAGAACATCTAGAGATCAGACGAGTAGACAATTCAGATAGCAGAACTGATCGAAAGATGCAAATGAACGGTTGAAGGTTATGTATAATGTATGATATAAATACTTTTGAGCAATCAACACCTTCCTCCTACCCGTTGTCGTGTTTTACAGTATATTGACTGTTAAGTATTTAAGGGTATATAGTGACCTACTTTTATGAAGAGAACGCGATTGGCATAATTGAAACAATTATGACTATAACTAACTGCACTAGTGGTTGTCTTACTGTACCTGTTTGTTGAAGTGTACGAAAAAGACACACTCTTCCGTTGTTTGTGACCTTACACGAACTCTCGGACGCTCAGTAGTATCGCTTATGGATTTTAGCATGATCTTGGTATTAGATCGATTCCACAAGATGGCCAACAAATACATTTCAATCTAACCTGGTAACTGGCACGTTGTCTTCCTGTCGTGGTAATCACAATCAACCGCAACTTGACGCCTGCAACAGATAAATGACAGAATGATTTGAACCACAATGCTTTACCTATTCATTATAGTCACTATCAAAAGATTATTCATGCTTTTAAAGTATTATCAATCAACCTTTTCTCGTAACATATAATCAATAAATTGATCCTAGTTATGACTGAAATCGATACAAATACAAATCAATATATATCATTCAATAAATTTATTGATTCAGGTTATTTTGACCTAGAGTGTCTAATTGTATAGATCAAAATGAATTATTCATCTATCTAATTATTGGAAACATTTCAACTTTAGGTCAAGGGTCAAAGTAACCTCAAAACCAAAACAAAACAAAAAAAAAAAATAAGAAAATAATCAACCTCTTCATTATGATTAGGTTATCAACGGAATGATACATACAATCAAATCAAATAACTATTGAATAACAGTCCCGTTTCTGTTTACATATATATGAAATAAACTATAATGTAAACAAATAAACTAGTATGATAGTAACAAATGTTATGCTATTAAGTTTCTATCATATTTTTCAATTACTTTATTGATTGATAGAAATAAGTGGGATGGTGGATGTGCACCGCTGAGGAGTCCCACAATAGGACGAAACGGCCCTCCAATGTTTCCAGGTTTTCAATGATGGTCTAACATTAGTTAGTTCAAGATCTTAATCAAAAATAAGTGGAACAAATTATGTGACTGTTGAATTATGAATCGATTTATGTGATAGATCATCAAGTTTCAGTAGAAAATATCTTGGAGGATTGGATCACTAACTGATCCAGTGGTTGAATATTAACTTATATACTGGAGAATAGAGTAAGGAAGTATCTGGAAGAAACCACAACCCCAATACTGATAATCAACATGTGCTCATTAGTGAATAGCTTCGTGAGGGAATTCTCGGAGTTCTAGTGAGAAGCCGCGACCAGTGGAGCTAATCCGTGTTGGGTAAAGACAGGTATCTACCTCAGTACAATGGAAGATGGTCGCACAACTTCATGGATTGGTAGATGTTGGTCACTAACACCATTGGATGCCGGCTCAGTGATCCAGTAGGTTAAGGGTTCGCGCGCGAGACTGAGGTTCTGGGTTCGAATCCATTTGGCGCGGGATCGTGGATGTGCACTGCCACGGAGGAGTCCCAATGCTTCCAGGTTTCTAACGGTGGTCTAACATCAGTCGATTCATGATCTCAATCAGAAACCAGTAAAGTGAAACGTTTTTAGATGAGACATGAAATTAACATCCACAAACACAATTAATGAATATCCACTTCAAGTGTTATAACAAAGTTTATCTGAAAAGTTGTGAAGCTATTTCCACTAACAGTTATTAAGCTAATTAAACACAAGATTGTTACAAAGATAAATTTATTATTATCTGAAATAAACTAGATAGTACTTGACAGATATTGGCTTATCTTGGTATTTTTGCATTCCCCATGAATGAATAAAACCAAACCTAGCAAAGGTATATCTCAGTCTTTTTCTGAATTTGACTGAGAACTTAGCTCTTAAATTATATTTTTCTTATCAAATAAATTAGATTGAGAGTTTAAAAAGTACTGAATATTTAAGTGGTGTTACCAACTCAAAACACTGGCTTTAACATTTGTTACGAATGTCGATTCAGAGATTAACAAATCATGCATTATTTCTTTACCGACACTTGAAACTAGGTGGTCAGTTTATGATATAGTATGAAAGTGGAATAGGCCAATTCGTAACGACTCCCTGGTTGGTTTCGTGGAATGAATAAGTGAGGAATGTTGAGGTTGGTATAGGCAGCTAATGGGCTAATGAATTTTCATCGAATAAGGTGGTTAGGGTATATGTTACATGTGCATAACCACTGCCTACTTTGGTGAGAATTGCTTGCATGTTCAGCGGTAGAAATTCAGGAGTCAAACTGGAAAATGGTATCAGTTCACGAAGTCACTGCCTGTCGGTATGAGTCATGACGGTAGGTTCATACTACCAGATCGGTGTCTGCGTGATGGGCCTAATCAATGATTGGAGACTTTGACAAACAACATTCATCGGTTAATTACACGTTATGGACTGACCCATGTGGTAGTGTTCGCACTCTGTTCGTTGTATCTACATTTATTAACATATTTCTGTAATAACGTCGTTTTCGTTGTACGGTCATCAAAGCAAACATAGTACCTAGTTACGACGAAAGGGTGATCCGCGTTAAGTGCTAACCACAAGGTGTGACTTCGACGTTAGCTGGTTGGTCACATCATTCCTGTCTAATCAAAGCAGGCCTCCAATCATTCTACATAGATCGTCTACGTTGATGATCCATACATTCTTTATAAAATAATATCGACTAAATCTCTGTGACGTTCCTGATAATTTATCCTAATGTCAACAGATTACGAAAATATAATCACTTTTCCACAAGCATGGGAACGGAATATTTAGAGCTGGTCGGAATTCCCCGACCCTATTAATGTTCATTTGAAATGGTTAATTATTATTATGAGAAAGTAACCCAGATGAATTTATGAAACACGAGATATTCCTTTCTATCCACTTACTTACTTACGCCTGTTACTCCTCGTGAAGGAGCATAGGCCGCTCACCAACATTTTCCATCCAACCCTACTCTGGGCAATCCTTTCTAGTTCTTATTCATCTCTTTCATATCCACTTCTATTCCCCGACGTAATGCGTTCTTTGGCCTTCCTCTTTTCCGTTTCCCTTTAGGATTCCAAGTTAGGGCTTGCCTCGTGATGCAGTTTGATGATTTCCTCAAAATATGCATCCACGATTCTACACTCAGGACTCGAACCTTTTCATTTTGCTTGTAAACACTGAACCGTTATTTAAATTTCTATCCACTGACATTTTAAAAATATGTACATAATTTCTATCATAGAATGATGTCAGCCGGAAATTTACTGACATTTAAAAAGTAGTGAACAACTGCTTCGTTGTAGATTAGGAGTGATCATTGGTGAGAACACATAGCCTTACATTAAATAAGTCAGGACCTGCACGTTACATGTTGAGGATGAATTATTATTCATGGAAGATAGGGTTTATGACAAAAATGCTTTTTAAATCAAACTAATCTTACTATTATAAACATAACCATTCCTATTACTGAAAATGTCCATAATAGTAAAATGAAATGGAACTAACTAATCCCCTAAACTTGTAATCATACTGTCGGATTATCAACAGAATGGTTGCTTGTTTGAATGTATTCTATTTGGGATGTTCTTTACCGATTGTTAGTATTTCATTATTAAATAGTTTAATGCTCCAATCTTTGAGGTATATAATGAATGTAGATTACTTCTCCTGAACTGATAAATCCTTACATCTGAGGTTTATTTAATTAACACCCTAGACTAATTTCTTTACGATGAGATAGTATAAACCAAGTGAATATTTTTTGGCACTCATGCTTTGATATTTCTGGACAGCACCAAATGTTTGATAGCATTCATACAACCCCTCAACTACAATAGTTCTGTTCCATTTGACAGGCCATTGGGAGTTGGTATATTTTATAGATGTATTCATCTAAGAGAGATGAATTGTCCTGTTACCAGATGGCTGCAGTGGTATTCGAATGAAGCTATTCAGAGCTCAAAAACAAATCTTAGCTATGTTTTCCGAATAGAGAAACTCCACAGAGTATTGCAGAACCCCATATTATGTTTGATATGTATAATTAGCTTAGAATGCCAGGGACTAATATGATTCAGATTTGAATTGAGTAAAGGTTGTATCCCAAGTTCATTTACGATGAAACAATCCCAGAGTGAAAATACCAGTTAGCAAAGAATGAGTCAACAGCTTAGAAAGATTCAGAACTATGTATTTATTCAGAAAAATTGTTAAAAAAGCTAGTGTCAACCATGTACTGACAAAAGTAACCTATTTGTCATAGCTTTCGGACTTAATCTGATGATTGGTATACCTCGTACCATTTGATCATAAAATCATCGCATTGCACGATCCACACCACCGAACCAAGTCAAAAAATCACAGAAATGTCTGGAAACAAGTATCCCAAAGACTTTTTGAACCACTCCCAAGGACTACCTACATGCTTGGTTGTAGAAACGTAGTTACGGACAAAGAGAGTCATAGACTACTCCCGCTAACTCCACACAAGCTCCGAAAGACTACGCAAACTCACTGACACCGCGGCCATCTAGTCTAATCAAATTCTCTAAGCCAAACTCAATGGATTAAACTAAAGAGACTCATGTTAGCGACAGAAGCCAGTTAGGTGATAACCACTGACCTTATAAAAGATAAGTTAAACATGTGTTGGATGCTACACATACAAGCATTTGGTACACAAACCAACCACGCGAAATGCAGGGCTAAGAGGGCAAACAAATTGCCATGATCTATTGTGAGATATACCCAGTATTTACAGACTCCCACAATATCAGTGGGATGCGCCCTCTGACTTGTTAGGTCTGACAGTAATGACGACGCAGCTTACTGACTCCGGGAATGAGACCACTCCTAAAAAGCAAGGCAAGGTCGAGTAGGACACCGACCAACCACCCGCTGGACATCTGCTGATTGGCGTCCAGCCTCCGAAACTCCCTGACCCGTACCCTAGCCGAAAAGGAATAAGAGCCAAGGAAGTACTATGTTAACACGATGACAAGTGTCCACACGCGGACTTAAAGAGACAACCCACTGATTGGCACACACTCACGGTTACGCCAGTCCAACCGCACTTCGTATGCCGATTCATAAATGCTTCCACCCCACTAATGACTGTTCGGTTAACTACTTTCTATGTATTACAGCCGGTTGCTAACAAGAACCAGTTCCATGGTTCTGCTCTCACTAACGTGCAAATCTACAGCCACCAAAACAAACGCACTACACACCGAAATTACGCGATGAGACACTGGCAACGTCCAGCCATTTATGCAATTGTGGAGAACGACACCATCACAAATCAACTTGCGGAATGGTTCACCACCAACACCATCTTGACGTCATTACGAGTGGTGACCTACACACCTTAAATCGGCTCAAGTGATCTGCATGGCTACTAACTAACTCATCGCGTCTGAACACTGAACCAAGTCACTTGTTACATTACTGAATTACTTTAACGAGTAAGCAAACCAAGGCAATGCTGTTTGTTGCTATAACACTACTGCGTTCACAACTTTAGAGCCCCATACTGTGACGAGTAGCTAGATCTACACATCACTGTTAAGAATGGAATTTACAGAGTACTTTAAGATTCCAACGCATTAAATGTTGTATGCACCGTCGTACTCGACTTCTCAGAAAAACTACTAGCATCGTAAAGGCAGATATTTGAGTCAAGTAATGACCCCCAGGAAACAGTGAACATAAGATGGCTGTAACAAACAACAAGATTACTTCGTAAAAGGCTGTAATAAGAACATAGTCAATGATGAAAGTGTAAAATGCGCATATACAGGCGGCTCATAGACAAACAACCACCGGGTGAATGATGGATCAATTCTCAATTAACTGGTAAAGCTTCCTCTTCAGGTGTCTTTTTTTCCGCTTCTTCTTCGGTTCCATTTTCTCCGGTTTTGTTAGCATCTGCATTTGGCATTTCCAAATCAGGGAGGTCTACAAAATCAAGAAGTAAATTTATCAGAATCGAACCTTGTAACTGCGAAGAATTTTTTCATTTCCATGACGAATGTAATTTAATGCATGTCAATGTAAGATGCTGATTAGTTAAACTAGTTTATGACAAGAACATTGTTATACTTCTGTCACGAAGCAAATAAGGAATTGTTGCAGAATAATTAATATTAACTAATAGCGGATAAACAGTATGCATACACAAGTTTGTGCACTAACTGGATCCTAAAATCAGTAATACGCCACTGATGACGTGTCAGGCATATGCATCATACCAGACTATTAGTATCAACAACGCAAGTGGTAAAAATATCAACGGTGATATGAAGGACTGGGCACATACAATACATAGTTCTTTAGAAAACATGACAGAATGAGTACACAAAATACTTGATAAGGAACTGATAGGACTAAACAACAATTCAAAGGATAAATCAAACAATATTTGCACATAATAGGAAGAAAAATCCTAACTATTGCTTTTACAACTTCCACGTTTCTACGACGGACCTTTACTGGTTATGTAAAAACCACACGTATTGATGCCTGTTTTCTGCACAGACAACCCATCCTCTTATAACCAGTTTACAAGCGAGCGTTTACATACATGAGATGCGTGAATGAACAGCGTCTTTAAAGACTTGCTATATGAAGTGTGGACGCGACAACAGTTCGACAGCTTAACCACTGTACTTGGCTTGTACCAGGAGTCGGTATAACTAAGGAGTAACCTACCTTCATCATCAGAATCTAGATCACCGTCTATACCATCGTCGCCCCCATAATCACCGAAATTGGACATCTGAGACAGCATATTTGAGAAGTTATTTCCATCCATATCAGGTTCTGAGTCATCATCGTCCTTCCAGCGATTAAAGTCTGTTTTCAGCCATGGGCATTTTGTTTTCTGTGAAAGTAGACGCGGCCATGCACCGTTTTCTTTCTTCTTTATGCAAATAAAAACTTCCCGACCGGACGTAGTGATTTTTGGTTCCTTGAAATGGATAGCTTTTAGCACAAAAACATACCTCTGTACAAACATTTCCATAAAAATCAAGTTTAACTTCATATTCAATAGGTTTATCTTTGCCTGCTTCCGCTCTAAAAAAATGGTTTGAAGTGGAATACAGTAAATTACTTAAACTCTAGGGAATTATCTTTAACATTAATCGTCTTATTTATCACATCACTAACAACGACAGTGATGTAGAGGCAATCATTTCTTTGGGCCCAGAGTACTGGTAGGTGAACACTAGAGAAAGATTATGAATTGCCAACTACACATACGCTGCTTGATGATCACCAGACATGTTCGTAACCTAATAGCACGCAAGACTATTCTAGAGTGACAATATAGACAAACACGTGATTCAACGCTCAATATCCGCCAAGGTGGATTATTTTTGTCACTTATGGATTAATGAGAATAACTTATTGAATATGCTAGCGGATGTGATAGTATCTTTATTTTAGAGACCAAACCGTATTAACTAGAAGATTTCAGCTTTCAGTTCTCAGTAGTAAGTTACAGGTCTAACAACTTGAATAAACCTTGAAATTTGCAGTGCTTTCGAGATTCCTTCTCGCTTTGAATGTATCGACGGAAGGTTCCGATAGTTTAGTAATTTCCTATTCGATGCGAGAAGCAAAAAACCACAACAAAACAATTTGATCCCGATTTTTGAACTTTCTTAGAATGTTCTCTTTGGTGGGCAATCCTAGATGGAAAGAAAAGATGAGACATATTAAAACCAAAATCATCGTACGGTGTACGGTAGATCACTGTTAGATCACTGTTTAACATGCGGTAAGATAACGGAAATGGGTTGCGACGTTCCAGTTTGCCTTCACAACACAGGCCGGAAAGACCTTTGACCATTTCGGTCCTTAGTCGTTGAGCATGTTCTGGCATATCAGTCGCATACTCAAAACAACGACTCATTGCTTGGTTTACTCATTATAAATGCAGTCTCGCAAATTCGAGCATAGTAAATTAAACATTCCTTTGTCTAAATAGTCAAATGATATGTGAATAGCTCACAACAGCCTGAAGTCATTGGCAGCGATAACCCTGTAGTTACTCATCGTTTTGAGGTTGTCGCTTATTATGACCCCTAGATCTCTATAATCCATTGCTTCGGGTAACACAACCCCACTTATTTTGCAGTGATGTGAATCGTTATTAATTTGTATCATCACACTAGTATTGGAGTTAACTTCTAATGACCGCCTACCCATCCGTTTAACCAATGAATTCAGGTCGTCCTACAACATTATCCTATTCGACATACTGTGTGTGGGTCTCTAAATCTTGATAGTCACTTATCCAGTTTATGATTTCATAATGGATCCTCAAATTTCCAGTTTTAATTTAGAACGCGAATGATAGAGTTTGTCAAAGACTTTCCATAGATCTATGCAAATTACATCTACATGAATATTTCTATATTTCGCTGCAGCCCAATATTTTTCTCACCGAGCAGATCGGCAGTACAATAGGCTTTCCCTAAAACCATGTCGTTCCATGAATAAAAGACCATACCCTCTCACGTAATTTAGAATAGCTGTCCGAATAATCTTTCCCATTATTTTGACAACTACTCTGGTTAGACCAACGGGTCGATAGTTACCATACTCCATGCTCCCCGCTTTTTGGGCCTTTCCAGTCTTTTTGGAGTTTAGACTGCTGCAAAGACATACCAAGTAATACTGCGAAAGGATTGGAAATTACACCTGGCGCTGATTTCATAATCTTGGGATAAACATTACCAGAACTACTAGAGTCGTCTGGTTCGAGATGTTGGGTTAATCGTAAGACAGTTCCTTTCTCAACAACCACAAGATCTGTCGACAAGCTGCCGTCGTCACGAGTAATTGTTGGTCTTACTCAATCGTCAGCAGGAAACACCTCACTAAAATATTCTGATAAGCCTTCAGCTTTTGCAACATCATTTCTTGTCAATACCAACGGCCTTTCCTGCATCCAAAGTGGTGAGATTCCATCGTCTCTCTCAGTTCTTCTATTTTTATACGAAAAAAAACTTCTCGAACTATTTCAACAATTCCTAACCAATTGTTTTTCTAATGAATGTCTAGTATTAATTATCAACGCTTTGCAAGCGTACCTAGTCTTATAATAAATGGATCTATTCTGATCAGATCATGTAGAGATTAACATACTCCAATGCCTTTTCCTACGTCCAAGAAGTCTCTTGATTTGTTTATTTATCTATGGTAGAAATCTATTTGGTTTATATGCTGCCAAGTACAGTATAAAAAGGGACGTAACTCAGCTACGTGCACCTTTAAATATAGACCGTGCTTCTCCGGTTGATGAAATATGTATTGAGCAATCTGTTGTTGCAGAGCACTACTGAACGAGCGATATGTTTGATCCCCATATATTTCGACAAGGTTTAACTTGAGCGCATATTATATCACTAGATCCAGAGGTCAATGAAACTATAGCTAGAACTTTGTTGGGTAAAAATATCAGACTGGTTGATCCAAGAAACCTGCTTCTAAATTATGAGAGGTGATAATTAGTTGAAGAAACCTACGAATCCATGTACCGATCATTGATGAAACTGATACAATAGTGTTGTGACAGCTTCCGAGAACTACGATGGAGCCTCGAGAGTCCCTAAGGGAGCCAAAGGGTATGATCGTGGCATGCTACTATTGAACAGTAGCACAACATGCCACTTTGCAGATCGGCCTAATTATAATGTTGATATAACAAAGCTCTAATATTTATAGATACTCATGATTTTCTGTAGATTTCGGTCCTTACCCAAAAAGCACTTCTCCAGTCTTCTTCCGTCTTCTGATTTGTGACTGTGGTGTTCTATACGTTTGAGTTTCGTAGTTGTATACCGTATTCTCTGTTTATCAAGTAACAAACGCAATACTAGCTACGAGGTGTACCAGTAACAATGCTAATTACATTTGAACAAGTTAAATCTATGCCTTAACGTCCGGGAAAATGGTATGAACAGTCAAAGTGCATACTCTGTAGAGGCTAACGCATCACAAAGGATTTATTGATGATTAATGTAAGTCACATAACAATTATTCATTAACTCTGTCCATTAATTTAATTTTCATGATTTGGCTGGTATTACTTTTGAATCCTGGTTCAAGAAATACGAAGATTTGTTCGAGATCGACCTCAAAAAAATTGATGATGCCACCAAGAGCAGAGTACTCCCAAGAAAACTTGGCACGGTTGAACACGAACGTCACAGTAATTTCATCCTTCCAAAGAACCCAAGACATTTTTCTTTTGATGTAACAATTTTTACATTCTGAACAGTCATGTTGGTTTAATATATGTCATCAGTGCCTGAGGATGGTAATAGCCGGCGATGATGGTCGGTGAAGTATGTAGGTTTAGTAAATCATGAAGGTGAGCGGTCTAAATTATCAGCAATGACAGATCAGTTTAAGTGTCTCGTATTTGTTTTCAGTCCTCAATCCTTTGAAAATGATGATATTAGAACCACAATTCGGAGTAAAATTGAACAGTGTTCGAAAATAGCGCTACGGGAATTAGCCATAGAGTACCAGAGATTGGTGAACTTGAAACATGACACCACCACGGTCGAAAATAATACGTCCATGTTATAAGCGAAAAGAAAGATTCGGCTCAAGAAAGTTATCGTGCACAGACAATCAGCAATCATTTCCATGCTGATCCTGTGGAGGTTGGCATTATAAGGGGTTCTGTACTTTTAAGGAGTGTCGTTGCGCTAAAGAATCCAGGAGCAGAAAAAATCCACCATCGTAATTCTTAGAAACTCTACTTCAAGAAATACAGATCTGATGCGACAACTCATGAAATATTGATATCTCATTACAAAGCGCGAATTGATCGCCAAAGAACGTGTGTAACTTTGGATATTAATAAACGACCTACTCGCCTTCAGCTTAGTACATCATTTGACATTACTCTGATCAGCTCAGAATCTTGGAGGAATATTGGGAGACCCACAATTCATCCAACAACATAACTAGCGTACAGTGCATCTGATAGGAAGTGAAGTATTGTTGAAGAAGTACCCTGTACTATTTCTAAAGGTAATGTGAAAACGTATGCAACAGTTTATGTTACAGGAAATCCATCACTTGATTCGTTTGGGCTATATTTGATAGAGACACTAAGACTAGCAGAGCATTCGATTAACAACATCTGCAGCCGAATCAGAACCGATAATCCTTTAGGGTGAGACCAGAAGAACGCAGTGCTACAAAATTACCATCACGTGTTTATAGAAGGATTAAGAGAATGTACGAAAGTCAAGGTATTGCTAAACCTCAAACTTGGAGCTAATCCCTTTTACAACCTAAGAAACCCGTGCCTTATGTTTCCTTTCCTCAGTTGAACGGAAATTAGGACGGTTTCACAGCATCGGTGTTACTGATCCTGCAAACTTCTCAGACTAGGTGGCACCAATAGTGATGGTCAAGAAGTTTAAGGGAAGCGTTTCCATGTGAACAGGTTACTCCACCGGACTAAACAAGGCTCTAGAGTCTCACCAGTGTCCTTTTGTTGTAACTTGTGTCCCGATTGCCCCGTTAATGGATAAGTAATGATACCGCCAATTAGGTAGTAGTGAATTATCGATCGAACCAATGACGCGTAAAACAAGTACGAGCAGTTTAGAGTCCTGATTGATCCTGCTTTCCGTCTAGCCCAGCCAGTTAAGTCCAGAACACCAATCTCAGCCTCTGCAATATGAATCATTTACTTCAAACATACTCGGTTTACATACCAATCAAACAGACCACAACTCACCATAAAATCGAAAATAACATTTGTACAAAATTTGGTCAAATGTGGCCGTGTGTATTGTAGGCAGTGATTAATAGGCATGGCATAATTCAAGAATGGTAAATCGTATAATAATGGTTCATAGGTCAAAACAAAGCTTATACTAAGTGGGACATGAATATGAATAGTTTAGTTCCTTAACAATTATACGATAAAAAAATACGCATAGTATTGCTGCCCCCAAATGCCCTGGTATGTCCGAGAGTGGGGTGGGTTCGCCCTCCATCTCACACGGCCACACGTATACAGCCCCTGTCAGGGAAGTCCTACTCACTGCCTTCTCGTGGCACTACTGTTGTTTACGAAAATGAGAGGACGAAAATCGAATGTCTGGCACTTTAACCGGATCCCAAATCAATGGTGCACATGGGCTCCAGTATCCTGAGGGAAAAATGGCGTATGAACCAATTTCTTGGTCACCGGCTTCCATGGGACTATCTTCTCACGATGCTCCACTGCCTTGTGGGTTAGACCTTTAGGTCAAAGGCTCGGGATGTGGCCCCC